CAGTTTGCCAACCCCCGGTCTATACACCTGCCCCAACCCACCAATGCCCAGCTGTGAACTGTGGTGTAGACGCCCATGATTGGGAGTGCACCACCATTCATTGACCACCATCCCACTGAGGGACCCTGAGAGTGTCTGTAATCGTTTGCGCTCACAAACAACACTGCAGCCAACATCCCTGGACATCTTCTGCATTTGCGTGTGAGGTCTGGACCCTTGCTACTGCCCGAAGTATGGTTCATGGACCAGCAGCATCAGCATCGAACAGGAGCGTGTTAGAGACAGCGAATCTCCGTTCCACCCCAGACCAGCAGCGTCAGATTCTGCGTCTTAATAAGCGCCCCATATGATTTCCAAGCACATGGGAGTCTGAGAAGCACAGGCTTGGAGCAGTACTTTTCAAACCATGAGCGGTTTTAGAAATCCCATGTAGTGGGGTCGGCATGACCCTCAAAAAGGAAATAGAACAGAGTAGACTAGAATAGCTATTGCACTATGGGAATGTTCCAGAAAACTCCTGTGTATTCTTGAGCTCTCAACTCAGGCACTGACCCTCCGGGAAGCCTAAGTTCACCTTGACGACCCCTGGAACAGATCAGGCCACCCCTCTCCATAGTTTTCTGTTCTTTTCTGACACAGTTTATAATTAAATCACAAGGTGTGATTATGTTTACTTCCTGTGGTGACCCTTTCCCCCCACCTGTGAGGGCATGAATGGTTTCCTAGTTAGTTCAATGCCACATCCCCTGTGCCTAACCCAGACTTGGCTGTGGCAGGTTAAAGATGGGGGCAGATTCTTCACAGGGTCCCCAACCAGGGGTGGAGTCTAATTCCTCACCTCTTGGAGCTGTGACTGCTTGAAGCTCAGTAGTCTGCAATCCACAGCCTGTAGGCCAAATCTGGCACACAGCCAGTTTGTATAAATAAAGTTTTATTGGGACACAGCCATGCCCATTCAGTTATGTACTGTTTGTGGCTGCTCTCACACCATAATGGCAGAACTGAGTAGCTGTGACAGAAATGGAGTGGTCCATAAATATTTATTTACTATCTGGCCTTTCAAAGAAAATATTTGCCGGGCCGGCCCAGTGGCGCATTCGTTGGGAGTTGGCTTGGGACACCGGCTCTGAGCAGCAGTGCCCCGGTTTGGATCCCACATGAGGGCCAGTGATGCTGCGCCCTCTATGGCTGGGATGGTGAACAACAGCTCTACCTGGAGCTGGGCTGCTATGAGTCACCGGTGATGGCATAGGCTGCAGTGAAGCTGCAGTGGGCTTCCATGGGCTACTGTGAGTGGCTGACAGCCAGTGTGAGTGGCCGGCAGCCAGCGTGAGCTGTCAAGAGCTGCCAAGAGCTGCTGTGAGCGGCCGTCTAGTGGCTGGTGACTGATCTGCCTCACCTGGGAAGAGCGCAATGATAAACCAACATGGGCCAGTGAAGCAGCATCCTCAACTAGACTGAAGAACAGAAGGACAGCAACTTATCTGTTTCCCTTCCCCGATTCCCCAATGCTGTTCCCTCCCCCAATTCCCCAATAAAATCTTAAAAAAAAAAAAAAGAAAATATTTGCCAAAATCTGTTATTTGCCAAAATCAGTGGAAGTGACATTATGTCAGTTCCAGGCTTAAGCCTTTAAGAGGCCTGGCTGTCTCTCTTCCCTTTCTCAAAGCCCTGAGCTGCCACGTCAGAAATTCAGGCTCTCCTATGGGGAGACAGGCCACATAGAGGAGACACCAGACCTCCGGCCTTCGCCACCATGTGATGGTGACTGCCAGAGAACCACAGGCAGGACAGAGGAGGACCTGTGCTGCTGATCCACAGAACAATGGGATATAATGAAATGGGTGGTTGTTTTCAGCCACATGACATGGCTTTGGGGTGTCTTGTGATACAGCAATAAGTAATGACACACAGTAGTTGCTCAATAAATGCCTGTTTGAGTTACAGTGTGACAAAGGGAGGCAAGGGGAGAGAAAGGGTTCAAAGAAAACACAGCCAAAACTGAGAATGACAAAGACCCTAGAGGTGGAGCTAGCTGGGGGCAGATGCAGAGAAGAACCCACATGCCCACCAATGCACCCACTCCCCCTGCCCTTGGGGGCTCACAGGCCACCACTAACCTTGCTCAGCTTGGCATTCTGATCTTCCAAGAGCAGCAGATCTTCCTCAAATTTCTTCAGCTTTGCCTCTGTCGTCACCTTCTCCAGCTGCAGCTTCTGCCGGGCCCCCTCCTCAGCCTCGAGGTGAGTCTCCAGCTCCTGGAGTAGGAAAAGGGGTTGGTGAGGACCCAGGGGCTGGGAGCTGGGGTAGAAGGGATACTGCACAGACTCCTGGGTTGTGACTCAGACAGATCCACACTCTGGGTGAGGCTGGAAAGGATCAAACTCTTTCTGGTCTTGTTGTTTCATTCATTAGCTCGACAAGCATTTATTGAGTGCCTAATGTATGCCAGGCACTGTTCTAGGCATCGAGGATAGATAAAAATCTTTGTCCTTGTGGAAACCACATTCGTGTGTGTGTGTGTGTGTGTGTGTGTGTGTGTGTGAGAGAGAGAGAGAGAGAGAGAGAGAGAGAGAGAGAGAATATTCTGATCAATAGCTTAATAAATAAACATATCATGTAGATAGGCACTGTCCCCTNCCGCAAGTTCATAGTGGAGCTGTAACATCACACATTACAATGACTGTGAGAAGCATGGATTAGCGTCCTAATGTCCCATCGGGGTAACCCAAGGTGCCCACCTGGTCGAACTTGCGCTGCTTCTTCTCCAGCGTGCTCACAAGTTGCCGTTGCTGCTCCAGGTCCATGGTGGCATCGTCTAGCTCCTGTTGCAGCCGCCGGCGGCCCCTCTCCAGACGCTCCACAACCTCAGTCTTTTCTGTCAGGCGCTGGGTCAGGGCCTCGGCCTCGCGGGCTGCCCGGCGTCGTGCCTCTTCCCCTGCCTCCAGCGCCCCTGCCTCCTCCTCCTGGCGCCGCCGCCACTCTGAGAGCTGAGGGGAGGAAACAGGGGGTGGGTAGCAGTCATGTCTGTGACCAAGGTGTGAGTTCGTCGCACCCCGTTTCTCAGATGAGACTGAGGCCTGAAGAGGGAAATAACTCACTCCACGAGGCTCTTCTCTGCCTTGGAGTAGGACTGAGATTGGGAGTTCTATGAGCCCCAGCTCCTCCAGGAGATTAAAATTATTCTCACCGGGACCCAGAGATGAATCAGACCTGGGCTCTCTGCCCTGGGGAACCTTCAGTCTGATGGGGGAAGACTTGAGTGTCACAGCCAGGGTGATGAAGGCTAAGGTGGAAACATGGGAGCCACAGGAGTTCAGAGGAGACGTTCAGAATCTGTTTACAACATTCAAGGGGCACTTCCTAGAGGAGGAGGCATCTCAGATGGATCTTAAAGTATACATAGCAGTTTGCCAGTTGAAGAAGGATATTTGAAGACGTGCACTCAACGCTCGTTCAACACGCACGTCTCAAGGCCTCCCACACATCAGGCTCTAAGTTGGCCTCTGTTGGGGACCAGATCTAACTCTGACAGGAGCTCCACTTTACAGGAGCTCCCCATTTGGTGTGTTTGTGGGGAACTCATGGGCAGAGAGTGTTCCAGCCCAGGGTGATTAGAGTGGGGCCAGGGGAGAAAGAAGGATTATGGGAGCTCACAACGGGGTGGTCGGGGACTTCTCACGACAGGAGAGGCTGATGCTAAGTCCTGAAGAATGAAAAGTGTTTCCCAAGTGAAGTGGGGAAGGAGAGGTGAGAGACGAACACAGCTAAAGACAAAGGGAGGACCAGAGAATGCAGCTAAGAGGCATGGGCTCTGTCCAGAGGAGGCTGGGAGCCATGGGAGGGTTGTGAGCAAGAGAAGGGTCAGCATTAGGGGTAGAAAGACCACGTGGAGGATGAGCTGGAAGGAGAGAGACTGGAGGCAGGGAGGCTGAGATGAGGATCCAGGTGGCAGAGGATGAGGCCTGAGCAGGGCTGGGGCTGTGTGGATGGAAAGTAGGCATGAGAGAAGGGAGCGGAGGGAATAGGAGGGACGGGGCTGTACACTGACAGGCCCTGGGGACTGAGGAAGAGTCAGAGGTGAGACTGGTACCCAGAAATCTGGCCTATGACTGGTTGGGCAATGGGGGCCATCCCTGAGCTGGGAAACCCGGGAAAGGCAGGTTGGGGGATGAAGTGTCAACTTGAGGTCTCCCTCCAGGACTGCTCACCTGGACCTGGGCCGTCTGTAGCTCACGCCCCGCCCGCTCCCTGGCGGCTGCCTCCTCCTCCAGCTGCTCCCGCAGGCCCACCACCTCAGCCTCCAAGGCTCGCACCCGGGACCCCAAGGCCAACTTGGCCCTGGTCTCCTCCTGCATCAGCTCCTGCAGATGGAGGGGAGAATGCATGTCAGGCATGGGCAGAAGGGTGGAAGGTACGGGGAGGGGGGGCTCGGTGCTGATGGTGGGCTGCAGTTACCTGGGTGTCGTGCAGCTGGGCCTCCGTGCTGCTCAGTTCTTTGTTCAGCCTGATGGCTCTGGACTCGGCCTCGCTCAGTGCCCCAGATACATTCTCAAGTTCAGCCTGTGGGGAAGGGGAACCTTCTAATGGCAGCTTCCACCCAGCCGACCCCATTGGTTCCTCCACCTCCCATCTCCACCACACATGGCCGGTGGGAATGTAAAACGGTGCAGCTGCTGTGGAAAACAGTCTGGCAGGTCCGCAAATGGTTAAACATCGAGTTCCCATATTGCCTAGCAATTCTGCTCCTAGGTATATACCCAAGAGAAATGAAATATATGTCTGGGAAAAAAACGAGTACAGGAGTGTTCACAGCAGCAAGACTCATGACAGTAGAAAGGTAGGAATACCGAAATGTCCATCAGCTGATGAATGGATAAACGAAATGTGCCCAGGAACTATTCTAAGCACTTTACAACTATCGGTTTACCAGATTCATCCACCAACCTTATGAGATAGTTATTATTCCCAGTTTACATAAAAAAAAGCTGAGGCACAGAGAGGTAAGGAAACGTGCCTAAGATCACAGCTACAAGTGGTGGAACTGAGATTTGAGCCCAGGTAGAATGGCTCTAGAGCTGTGCTGTCCACTATGGTAGCCCCTAGCCATATGCAACTATTTAAATTTAAACTAAAATTAGATACAAGTAAAAATCCAATTCCTCAATTGTTCTTGCCACATTTCAAGTGTTCATTAGCCAAGTGGAGAGTATAAATACAGAACTTTTACGACACTGACAGTGTCGTATCCACTATCTATTGGATAGTGCTGCCTAGAACTCCTGCTATCAGCCACCAAACTCAACTTTTGGTGTCACTTTTATTTTTGCAATATATGAAGTGACTACAGTGACCTACAGTGACCACTACATAGCATGGTTCTATTTGGGGCAGACCTTAGCTATCCCCCCAAATCCATTCTCCCCTGGTCCCACTGTGACAGGCTATTAACTAGAACCATGGCTGCCAGCTAGAAACTATATTTCCCTGCCTCCCTTGCAGCTAGCTGTGGTCATGTAATTATGTTATGGCCAATGGAATGCAAGCAAAGTGATATATGCAAATTATGTCCCTTTCTAAGCTGGAGCACAGATGTGCCCATAACCCAGATTCCACTCTGAAGATGAGGTCAATGCCCTCGGGGACTGTGGAGCAACAAGATGAAAACATCTGGGTCTTGAGTGACCTCATGGAACATAGCGTCCGGCCAGCCTTGGCTACTTCAGCCTGTTTCTTGCGAGGGAAAGGCAGGTGTCTTTTATTTAAGTTGATGACTTCTGGGTCTCTTTGCTATAGCAGCCTAACCTTTACCCTAACGAATACACTCTGTTCCTCTGGAAATTAAAAGCTGTAACAATGTTTTCCCCTGGAGGGGTTGGGGAATTAAAATTCATTCTTCCCTCCATTCTTTTTTGCTTGTTTGTATTCTCAGTGATGACTAGGTATTGGTCATTTCATTAAAAGGCATAATACAATTAAATTAAAAAATCCACTGTTCTCCTAATAGTCACAGAATGATATTGTCTCAGCATTCACACCAGGCTTTTCTAATCAGACCATAGATCATTGAAGACTAAAAGAGAAGAGAGGAGGGCAAGGGCTGTGACAGGGTTAAGAGCTACAGGGTCAGGCAGGCCTGGGTGCGAGTTTTGGCTCTCACTGACCTTAGACAATCAACTTTACCTCCCTGGGCCTCAGTTTCCTCATGTGTAAAGTGGGAACAACAATTAGCACTTTCCTTAGAGGAGAGAGTCAGAAGGATTTAGTGAAATATATAGGATGTTTTTGGTACATAGTAACCACTCACCAAATACTAGCCATTCATGCTTGATTATGTTGGATAAGTTGGGAGGGACAATACGGTTGACGTGGACCCAACAGTGGCCTAGAGAGGGCAGGCGTCTCACACAAGGTCACACAACACAGACGACTACTGCCCTGGCCACCCCACTCACCTGGGCTCGTTGCAGCTTCTCAGCAACCTCTGCTCGTGCCCGCTCCCCATCGCCAGCCCGGCCCTGCACTTCCTGCAGCTGTGACTCCAGGCGGCGCCTCCGCTGCTCACCCTCCTGACGTGTTGTCTGCAGGTTACTCAGCTCCGCCCGTAGCTCAGACACCTCTGCCTCCAGAGCCAACCGGGTCTTCTCCCACACACCTTTGCCCTGGCAGGGGAGAGAGACAACAAAAGACTTATGATTCCCCCCACCAACTAGGCCAGGCACACTCCTGTCTCAGGGCCTTTGCACTGTCTATTCCCTCTGGAATTCCTCACCATTCCTTAGACACCCAGGTACTTTCCTGCCTCAGGACCTTTGCACTCTCTGTTCCTTCTGCCTGGAATACACTTTCCCCTGATGCCAAGATGGCTCACTCCTCACCTCCCTCAGTTTTTTACTCAGATGTCACCTTTTCACAGAGCCCTCCATGGCCTCCAGTTAAAATCACAACCCCCCCACTTAGCACTCTGACGCTCTTTTCCTGATCATCATTTTCCCATAGCACTTATTACCCTAATATCTATTATGTATGTGTATTATATTGTTTACGCTCCACCTCTCCCATGAAAACTTGAGTTCCACAGGGAAGGCTGCATCGGTGGTTCTGTTGCCTGCTGAGTCCCCAGTATTATCCCTGGAACATAGTATGCACTCAATTCATGCTGAATGAAAGGCAGAATGAGGACATGAATACGCGAGGAAAGAACCCCAGACAGATGGGCTGGCCTAGAACCAGCCAGAGGTACCGCCTCTAACACAGCATCCTGCTGCTCCCCCCATGGTGCCCCAGACCCCCCACTCCTGCCCCAACCTACCCTCCGGGCCTGCTCCAGCTGCTCCGCCAGCTCTCCCAGTGCTTGGCTGTGGCGCTGCCTCAGCTCCTGTACTGCCACCTCATGAAGGCGCGTCTCTTCCTCCAGAGCCTTCTTCAGCTCTGTCACCTCCTGCTCCCTCTTGGACCTTTGTTGGGGGAAAGGGGCAGGAAATAAAATTTCAGAACAGAGGAAGGGTAGGGACTTTGGGGGAGCCCTCTGACAGCAGTTGTGCTTGTTTATTTTTTCTCTCCAAGGATGGAAACCTCACTCTACATTCCCCCAAGGGATCTGGATGGTGATGCTGTATGAGGAGTGTAGCTTTAAGGGTAAACTCCTACTCATCTTTCAAAATCCTATTCAAAAGGCCCCTTCCCAAGGAAGCCTTCCTGGCCGCTCCCATAGGCGTGGTTTAGGGGCCTTCTCTCACCATGTTACATTATTCCATTAAAGTATACTGTTTTCTGGATTGGGTCTGTCCTTTGTCCAAATCTGCCTCCCCTAGACCAGGAGTTCCTGGGGGCAACGCCTGGATCTGACTCATCTCTGCCCAGGCCATACCCAGAGCTGGTGCTCAATAAACAACTGAGTGACTAAACCTCTGTGCAGATGGAGAGCTCGCACCCAAGTCCTTCTCCTCCTCCACCCACCCTGCATATGCCTGGGCTGTGCCAGCCGCCGGGCAGCCCGGTCTCACCGGAGCTCCTGCTGTGCGTTGGTGGAGTCCAGCGTATCCTCTAGCTCGCCCCGCAGTGCCTCCAGCTCCTCGCCCAGGTCCCGGCGCTGCTTCTCCGCCTTAGCCCTGGCCACACGCTCGGCCTCCAGGTCTTCCTGGGCCTCAGCCAGTCCTGCTTGTGCTTCCCGCAGGGATTTGAGCAGCTGGGCCCGGGCTCCGCCCTCCTCCTCCACCCTGGGGGTGGACAAGGACCATGGAGTTGGTACGCAGGCAGGCAGGGGGCAGGGATGACTTCTGGGGGTGGTGAGGCCAGACATGGACTTTGAGGGGGCCAGTCCCAGTTTCAAACCCCAGCTCTGCCCCTGGGCATGTGCCTCCAGTACTCAGAGCCTGTTTTCTTAGCTGCCAAGTGGGAATGACACTAACAGTAATCACAGGGACACTTATTAAGATCCTGCCACATGCAAACCCTTGACTTCATCATCTCAGTTAATGCTCACATCGATGAAGAAACCGAGGCATAGAGCGAGGACAGTACTTGCCCTGGCCACACGGTCACCGAGTGGCAGAACTGACCGTCAGGTCCTGCCTTATAACCCCTACACAACATGGCCTCTTACAAAGAGAAGCTGGATCGAGGGGCAGTGCTTCCTGGGGGTTAAGTTCCCAGGGAGCTGTGCAGACCAGGGTTTGTAGCCCCTGCTCAGTCATCTGCTCTGGCAAGTGACAACCTCTCTGAATAATAGGACTGTGAGAGGACATAACACCCCATTTCACAGGGCTGCCGAGAGGATGGCAATACAAATAATGAGTGTAAAAGGCTACATGCTATATGATCCCTCTTACATGAAATATCAGGAGTAGGCAAGTCCTGTGTAGACAGAAGGCAGATTGGTGATGCTGCGGGGAGGGGGAAATGCAGTGACTGCTTAACGGGTACCAGGCTTTCTGCTGGGGTGATGCAACCATTCTGGAACTAGATGGAGGCGGTGGTTGCACAACATTGTGAATGTACCAAATGCCACTGAATTGTACACTTGAAAATGGTTAATTTTATATTCTGTGAATTTCATCTTAATATAAAAAAAATAACAAGAACAGGTAAATAAAATAATAAAAAGTCGTAACAGACGCACTCAGCATTTACCTAGGGCTTAGGGTGTGCCAAGTGTTTTATGAGCACCTTCTAATTTAATCCCCACATGAATCCTAGGAGTGGCTTCTAAAGTCACCCCCATTTTACAGATGAAGAAGCTGAGGCGAGAGAGGTGGTATCACTTAGGTGAGGTC